AAAAAGAAAAAGAAAAAGAAAAATTGGCATCGCACTGACAGATTAGGGCAGGTGAAAATATATGCCATCACTGTGGGTTACAGGCTTGGGAGAAATGGCCTAAGCACAGTACAGTTAGTACTCGACTTACGACCACGATTGGTTCCGCCAGACCGGTCGTAACACTATTTGGTCGTAAGTTGAGTAGGCTATATGCACGCGGAGATGGTAGTGCTGCCAGAAGCTGGTCCGCACTGTCGTACGCCCAGCTGGGCGACGTTTGCACTGCCAGACGCGGAGAAGTCGTGGCTAGCGATTGTGGTCGTAAAGTCGAATGGTCGTAAGTTGCATAGGTCGTAAGTCAATCAGTGCGTGTAATTGAGAGCCAACAGCAGATCCAGACTGCGCAGGTTCAGATCTTTGCTCTACTACTTACTGGTGGCAAACCTTGGGCAAGTTACTTAATCACTCCTCCCTCAGTTTCCTCATTGGCAAAACTGTGATGATAATACCTCTCCTTTACAGGTAGCTTTGGGAATCAAACAATATTTGTAAAACATTTTATACAGTTTCTAGCACAAAGTGAGCACTATGTACAAGTTCATAAAACGAATGAACAGTTATAAGGTTGTAAACCGTGAAGGGCAATATGGCATAATCTATGTATATTAAAAACAAATACACCCTTTGACCACTGATCCTGCTCCTAGGATTCTATACTTTAGGTATCAACGATCTTCAGAGCAGCATCATTTAGACCTGCAAAATATTCAGCAGAACCTAGATGTCTGTCAATAGGGAAAATTTTACAGATTATTTAATGGTACCCCTCTGTTTACATGCCAGTAAAAAGAATGAGGCCAATCTCTATGTACTAATATGAAGCCATCTTCAGAGTGCGCTAAACTGAAGAGAACAGGCACAACACTGTATTTAGGGTATGCTACCATTTATGTTAAATGTCTACGCATAAAATAATTCTGGGCCCAGCCAGGTGGCTCACGCCTATAATCCCAGCACTTTGGGAGACAGAGGCAGGCGGATCACCTGAGGTCGGGGGTTCGAGATCAGCCTGGCCAACATGGCGAAACCCCATCTCTACTAAAACTACAAAAGAATTAGCCGAGTATGATGGCAATGTGCAGAGGTTTCGGGGCACCGAGATCATACACTGCACTCCAGCCTGGTTGACAGAGCAAGACTCTGTCTCAATTAAAAAAAAAAAAAAAAAAAAAACTTCTGAAAGGGTTTTTTTTTTTTAAATGATGAGAGATTATCATATTAAGGTCTTACTAGGTTTGTTTTAATGGGAAATAATTACTAATGCTGCTAAAAGTGTTGGGGAAAGTCTCTTTTCTTAAATAAACTTTCCCCTGTAATTTTACTTTCATTATTTGTTTAACAAACTTTTTCCCACAGCCTTCTGTTAAAACAAACTTCAGACTGACAAAGGTCAAACTGTCCTGAACTCTGAATCAGTGGGGTTTAAAAATCAAGGCATGTCCATCTCTGGGCACAGAAGAGCACTCACAATACCTATTACTTCAACACTTACAATCTGCCTTGAAACACTGATGTTTCTCCTCAAAAATTGTTTCATTTCCTTTACTATCAGCATAGTATGCCAAGTTACAGTATGATTTTAAATTACTTAAAGGATAAAGAAGAATGAGACCAACAAAGCAGTCATCACGTCATTCACTTTGGACAATTCTTTTTCTTTTTTTTTTTTTTTTTTTTGACAAAATCTCACACTCTGTTACCCAGGCCGGGGTGCAGTGGTACGATCTTGGCTCACTGCAATGTCCGCCTCCTGGGCTCAAGCGATTCTCCTGACTCAGCCTCCAAGGTAGCTGGGATTACAGGTACCCACCACCATGCTCAGCTAATTTCTGTCTTTTTAGCAGAGACAGGATTTCACCATGTTGACCAGGCTGGTCTCAAACTCTTGACCTAAAGTGAGCACCCGCCTTGGCCTTAGAAAGTGCTGGGATTACAGGTGTGAGCCACTGAGGCCAACCCACTTTTGACAATTCTAACTGACCAACCTCTCAACTTGCCAGACCACGGCTCTATTTTGGAGATGTTACCCTCTCACACATATTTACACATTAGATGGCGGAGGAGGGGGCCAGAACAACAATGAAAAACGCCATGTAATTCCTAAAACAACTAAGAATATCAGCTTGTTTTGTATTAAACAAAAATCTAAGTACCCTGAAAGACACCTCTTGTTGGGTTCACAGCGGTAGGTAAAAATACATACAAATGAAGGCCACAGATGTGTTGCTTTGTTGTTTAATCAAATACAAATCAAAAGAATCTTACGCCAAGGGATTCAATTAGAAAGAATTAAAAGACTTGAGCACAAACCTGCCAAGAGCAACCCAGACTCTCTGACCCTTTCAGACTAGAACTAAAATGTCCTTTCCCACATTCTCAAAACAGGAGTCCCTGAAATGCTGCCCTGCGGATGTCAGGTAAACAGAGTCCAGATGTTCCGTCACCCGCCATATGGTGAAAACAAACGCCACACCCCTAAAACGGACCTTGGTGGCCCATAAATCAACAAATACAAATGGAGGCAAACTATCCATATGCCAATTTCCTGGAACTTTCTGTCCTTTGCTTCCTGCACAATCTCAGATGCTTTTAGGTAAACCGTTCATTAAAAGTAAGGCATTCGCAGGAGTTAATGCCAAAAGGATTATTCGTGGAGGTACAGTCAAGCAATCCGGCAATTAGAATTAAGCTAAAGAAGGATAATCGTGAAGTGTTTAGAAAAGGTCATGCTGGCCGGGCACGGTGGCTCATGCTTATAATCCTAGCATTTTGGGAGGCCGAGGCTGGTGGATCACCGGAGGTCAGGAGTTCGAGACCAGCCTGGCCGATGTGGTGAAACTGCATCTCTACTGAAAATTCAAAAATTAGCCGGGCATGGTGGCAGGCACCTGTAATCACAGCCACTTGCAAGGCTAAGGCAGGGGAATCGCTTGAACCCAGGAGGCAGAGGCTGCAGTGAACCAAGATCACACCGTTACACTCCAGCCTGAGCGACAAGAGCAAAACTCTGTCTCAAAAAT